CTATTAGGGACTGGTGACATCGGAGTTATCTGACGGCCCGGGGGAAGGCCCCAGAATTTTGTCAGCCGTCCGATGGACCCCCCTGCCATGAATAAATTTGACTCGGAAAACACTCGCGAGCCGAACTCCGGACCAGGTTAGACCTCAGTTAAATCCAAACCCGCTAAGATTTCACTCGCGCCGCAAACGGCGGAACCTCGAACCCGACTTGACCCACCGGGCACTGACCTCGCTAAACATTCGGAGCACACCTGCCACGTGACGTACCGACGAGAGCCCGGGACCACTGAATGTGCCCTAAATCTACTCAGAAAGTTACCGTCCGTGAGTTACAAGTCCCGGTACATACCATCGACTTGGGTACCAGGGAACCTCAGGTCCAAGTTCAACTAGCAGTGCCTTATTTCTGAGTCTCTGAAATATCGATTGAGCCCCCAAGGCCGCAGGGTTTGTGCGCCCCCAGGGTTTGGTGCGCCCCCAGGTGTACACGGTTTGTTGCGCCCCCAGGTCTACAAGGGTTTGGTGCGCCCCCAGGTCTACAGGGTTTGGTGCGCCCCCAGGTCTACAGGGTTTGTTGCGCCCCCAGGTCTACAGGGTTTGGTGCGCCCCCAGGTCTACAGGGTTTGTTTCGCCTCCAGGTCTACAGGTTTTGTGCGCCGGGGACAATCAGGAATTAAAACCTGGACAGCTACGGTACCAACCGGGCACCGCATTACGCAGAAAATCCCCAAGGACTGTGTCCCGTACGTATGCGGTACCAACCGACTGCCCTACTGGTCTGGTAGGTAACCTGCAATCCCCCATGACAGGGCGACCACAGGGCTACCGGGCGGCCGGGCCGACCGTAAGCTCCCGCTCTTTTTGAACCCCTCAGCCCGAGGTTCCAGCGTGGACATGTCTGACAAGACACCACATCTTCTACTGCACAGACTGTAGCGTACCTTGCAATACCACCGGTGCTACTTCTAAATAGAACCGCACCCCTATTGACGCTCGTCGCATCTATCAGAAATCATGGCGCCGAGCAGCTAGAAACGCGATAGAAGAGCGATTGCAGTATGCAGACCGTAGCATTTTTCGAGCAATTACGGGTGATTGAAAATGGCCATCGAAGACCAATACAGCCCAGCTTGGCGAGACTCTCCAGCATAGAAGGAGGCAGGAAGATATAAGACACCAGGTAGAAGTGAAAGCATTGGAGGCTGCCATGGCATGCCAGGTGAGCTGCATGCCGAGTGAATTCCACTAGGTCTGGGGCTAGGGTTGAATAAGCAGACCTTGTGACAAGGCTCTTCTATACCTACAACCTCGAGTCAATGCTTGCTCCTTCGCTTTGCAGAACGCCTTGCTTGACTGCTGGAATACCTTAGGTAGCACACCCCTGCTTCTATCATCTGCTGTAGGTCTCATGCATACTGCGAAGCAACGCATCAAGGGGGAAGTTCAAACTCGTCCTGCATCGGTCCGTTCGTAGGCTTCTTCGATTGCTCATGGCAACCTTTTGCACGTCTTGCAGGCAACCAGAACTGTTGCCTCCGAGGACAGCGAACCTGCTTTACCAGCAATCAAGAGGCTAAGTGCGCAGCATGACAAGACAAAAACACCCCAAGAGCAGGCAAGGCCGCTCATGCTTACCCTTTTTGTCAGCTCAAGAATTTTATTTTGCAAGATCGAATAAACTCTTGGACCATGCGTGACAAACACCCTTGCCAGAGCTCCAGCTATGTTATGTGGCGCCCCCTGATTTGCTGGGGGGTCCTTGCAGGATGCTCGGTCTGAGTCCAGCTCACAGCATGATCACCTTGGGGCAAGGAGAGGTGTTAAACGCAAGCAGCAGAGCACGGGAGGCTATACAGAAGAAGACAACAGTTCATCAGACTCCGGGCTGCAGGTTAGCAGCATTCTGCAGCTTCTTGCACCTTTATCATCATGCTACTCAGATATTTTTCTGGAACAGACATCCAGACAGAGCATCAATGACTAAGCAACTCACCCCCTTGCCCACAACCCGTTCAGGAGTCCTCCCGAGACAATTCACAAGAGAGTAGTGCGGGCAGCGAGGACATCGGACTTTCAAACAACCGGGAGGCAAGGTCTGAGGACAGCCGCCCGGCAGGTTCGTTAGACAATTTCATCGACCCTGCCAACAGCCCCCTCGAAGGCCCGTTCTTCCATGCAGCTGTCGACAACAAGGAACGAGCAGCACGCGCTGCAGAGCAGGTTAGCTCCCTACTTGTGCCTTTCCATGTGGCTTTACACCTCTGCCACCATTGACGAACAGGTCTCTCCGCAGTAAAATAAACCGGTGGGCTTCTGGAAACACGACCTATTCCATCGGATGCAAACTGCTAGTGAGTCACAGGATCCGCCCATACCGCCCCCAATGCAAGGACGGAGACCTCCGAGAGGGTCTTTTGCAAAAGAGTTCCAACAATGACTTTCCGCATACCCACCCATGCCGCCCTGCACGTAGCCTAACATTCCCGCCTCTTCTCATGCAGTCACGAGAAGGAGTGGGGCAGCTCGAACCGGTATGTAGACGCACCCATCCAATTCTGCAGCGTGTTTGCCGCTTAATCTTTTCTTAAGTACTTATTGTTGTCTCATGAGTTCCCTAAATGCTTGCATTCAGAAGGGACATCCAGAATGACACAACGTCTTGTGCTTCCCAGCGAACTTACAGTGAGTCCACCATGCGAGTGCCATTTGTTGAGCGTCGAACCACGTCAGCGGAGACGCACAGACATTCTAAACATTCTTTTCATCTTGTAGGTAAAGAAACCGTCGAGTAGCGGCGAACGACGTCGTGACGAGGGTGTGTTTGATGAGGAGATCGCAGAACCGGACGCCGAATGGAGCGGAGACGATCTGGACCTGGTGAGTGGTGTCTTTTTCGATCTCATCGAGTCATGGCCACGGGCTCGAATGCACTCCAACGTATGTGCCTGACGCTACATCGTGTTCTCGGTCCACAGGGTCAGGACTGCTTGATCGAGGACCTCGCGCAAGAGATGGTGAGGACATCTGTCCGCGACCCGGAACCGGTGAGCACATCCGACTCTTTTCGTCTTGAGCACGAGTGCTGTTTACGGTTTCTGTAATCCAGAAAGTATCACGAGAACAAGCGAATTTTTAGAATCCATGAACGATCTTTGTAAGAGCGGTGCTGATGAGCATGTACGGGCTGATAGAGTGAAAGGCTCCTTCGTAATGGTTGACGTGGCATTTTGGGAGGCTTGAGCGCCCCTCGCGTGCTGGGTGGTGCGGCTGTGTCTGCCGGAAGCCGTTTTCCGGACCCTTTTGCAAAACACCCTCTCGGAGGTCTCAGTACCCGGTATGAGTGGTCTCGCATCCGAGGCGGCGTCTCGCTCTCGGTTCAGCTATGAATGAGTAAGCATCCGTGATTCTGAGGTCCTGCGTGGGTCGAACGTCGTTTCTGTCGCCGTCTGACCCGCCCTCTTGCGTTCACGAAGGGCCCGACCACGACTATCGTAGAGGAGTGGAGGCGTCTCGTGAAGGGCGGGTATGCGGTGGCGAGTGGGCTGCTGACGACGATCATGAAGGACGGTAGGGTGAGGAGAGGAGAGAGAATCGGCCGAGTGCGACGAACCATCTCGTGATGTGATCTGCAGCCCGCTTGCTGGGCGACAGCGGCGGTATGCTGTGCAGATGCTCAGCTATGCGCCTCTTTCGTGTCGCGCAGAGACGAAGAACCCGCAGCCTGGCCGGTGGAGGCACTTGACGCGCAAGGAGGCGAGCTTCTGCGCACCGGAGGACAACATGCTGTACATGACGACGGGCAAGGCGAACGACGTGATCGTGCTGGACGTGGCACTACATTGTCCGGCCGGTTGTCAAAAAGCGCACTACGATTTGCCCGGGGCCCGCAAGATACGGGGCTGTTCATCCAGCGGGGCCACGTCAAATGTACGGAATTT